ACTGAAGCTGAGAGAGAGAAAGTGATCACTGACGCTGGTCTTAATCTTTAAAGTACTCTTGGTCCTGCGAAGAAAGAACAAATCCCAAGTCTGGGGCATGCAAACCCCAGGGGAGTCAGAAAACTCCCAGCAAGCATGTAAAATGAGGAAATTGTGCGCATGTAAGTATAAGTGGTAGATATAAAGAAAAGATAAATTCTAAAATTTCAGTGATAAAAGAAAAACTATTCTTATAAATCAAAATAAGATAAAACCTCAGTTAAAGATAATAAAATAAAATAAATTCCTAAACATGTATATCAAATAAGGTCTACCCTAAAGCATACAATCTTATACCCTATACTAAGACGAGGTAAGATTTAGAAACCCACAATATGAGAGATGAGTACGTCGAGGGAATAATCCAAACAAGGAAACCCTCGTATATACCATATATCTCAAATTGTAAATCTCTAAATATTAACTCCCAAAATTCTATACACAACAATATCAATATACAACACTCATACTTCATCCAGGTCCATACCGTGCATGCCAAATCTATCACAAAGCATAAAAACACATTATTCTTATTTTTACATGTTATTTGAATTAGAGAAGAATATTTTCATGTATATAAATCGGTTCCCCGTAAACCGTCCCGGGAACACGGCTTCAAGTCAGGAATTGGCTCTTTGGCCCATGTACATATATAACTCAGGATATCAGGAATGCGCATATGCCCGTTTATATACATGTTACATTCTTCGTCTAATTCCCCTTTATAAACCCCATGTTTGTCGACTAAATTTTATATGACCATCCAGGTCCATACCGTACATGCCAAATCTATCACAAAACACATTATTCTTATTTTTACATGTTATTTGAATTAGAGAAGAATATTTTCATGTATATAAATCGGTTCCCCGTAAACCGTCCCGGGAACACGACTTCAAGTCAGGAATTGGCTCTTTGGCCCATGTACATATATAACTCAGGATATCAGGAATGCGCATATGCCCGTTTATATACATGTTACATTCTTCGTCTAATTCCCCTTTATAAACCCCATGTTTGTCGACTAAATTTTATATGACTGTGCATGAAATGTTGTGCACTAACCACAGAGTTACCGTGGAACGACTTCTGTAAAACTATGACAATAACCGTAACCCAGAACATGTCTAATCAAGATGAGTGCATCGTCTAGTCGATGCTATAGTAGTAATAGCCAAGGAAAATCTCATATCGGGATGTCGATATCGAGAGCATAGCCATGCTATGAAAGCACGCTTATATATCACATTTTTAACCGAAGTCGTCTTCATGCACAGTCTCTCCTATTGGAAGACAATTAGGTGATCAAACAACAATAATTTTTCCATATAAGTCATGTATGTCAGACACAGTAATCCAATCATGCCTATTAACTAATATTACTCTTGTATCAACCAATCGATACGTGCTACCATATACATGTATTTCTTTAAAAATGCTAAACTTGAATGTATCTGCTGACTATACACACTTTGTCAATACTACATACTATTAGTAAATAAGATCCCTGAATATCACACGTTACACACATTGCACGTGTACGTACTTTAACCTACTACCATCTGCCCACTAACAGTTTGCTGCTATGATATGAAACATGTTGTCTCACTCTAAGATACTGCAAATCCTACTGCTGACCTCTACTAATCCATTTGAAAATAGTGAATTGTATGATATACCTTCATGTCTACATATCTGCTTATGATTTTCTAATATGTGTGTAACCTCATTGCTGCTAACATCTATATACAAATTGTTATATGTCTTCGTACATCTCAACTTATACTTAGACCACACTATAAAAATATGTGTTAGTCTATGATCACTAGCTATATTATAGTGTTCACAACTTTACATGGATAAGTGTGTGTATGCTTACGTTGCTAAACTGCCTCGCTTGCCCTGTGATACATAAATATATCTAATAGGAAATCTGATAAAAAATATAGTTAAATCACATGGATAAATATAGTAACTGGGTTTTGTGCGGCAGTCAGGGGCGGCAGCAAGGGGAAGGCGACGAGGGTGCGGGCTGAGGTCGGAGGCGAGCTCGCGATAGCTGGAGGAGGTCGAGGGGGTTCGAGCGAACGAGGTGGCTCGGGGCTTGGGTGTCGGGTGCGGTGAAGTCTGGTCGTGGTGATGGAGGGCGGCGAGGGTGTAGGCGGAACTGGAGGTCGACGGCGCTGCGGGGTTCCGACGAGGTGGGGCGAGCGGTGTTGGGGAAGAAGAAGGAGGCGGTTTAGATCTGGGAGTGGGTTTCTCTTGATGGGGGAGATAAGAGAGAGAGTACGGGTGGGGGAGAGAGAGGGTGGTTTAAATTATGTATATTTTGTTAGGGGGAGTACGGGAGAGATAGGATTTGTTGTGATTTAGAGAGAGAAAAGATTTGATTATGGGGAAGATTGAGAAAATATATGGAAAGAGAAGGTTTGAGTACGGGTGAGAGATAAGGTAAGTATCAACATGATTTTAGGGGTATATTTTATATTATTATTTATTTATTTTGAAAACTCAGAAAATTCCAGAAATTAGGAAAAGTATTAATAAAATATAATATAATATTTTAAATACTAGAAAAATTTATTTAAATACGTATCAAAATTTACGGTTGTTACAAATCTAGACGGAAAATTCCATCTAGATTGCTCCATTTCCCGTCTAGGTTGGTACGCATAGACGGAATTCCGTCTAGTTTGCTCGGTTTAATCTGTTTCCGTCTAGATTGGGGTAAACTAGACGGAATTCCGTCTAGGTTGACCAACCTAGACGGATATCAACATAGACGGAAGTAATATATCCGTCTAGATTGCTACCTAGACGGAATTCCGTCTAGGTTGGTAACCTAGACGGAATTCCGTCTAGGTTGGTAACCTAGACGAAATTCCGTCTAGATTAGCAATGTAGACGGATTGCTACAGTAGCAACCTAGACAGAATTCCGTCTAGGTTGCTCTGCTACAGTAATTTTTTTTTTTTTTTTTTCAAAATCTACATTACACGCTATATAATATCACATGTACACAATATAGCACAACACCAAATCATGTTCATATCCAACACAATCAATCTAATTATATTTCAATATCAAATATAATTATATTCAAATAATACATTCACCAAAATACTAGAAAGGTGCATAAATGTTTTACATAGATTGATTATAAAGAATACAATTGTTTACATAACTTAATGAACTTTGCATAATTTATAGAATCCAATTGCATTTACTCCTCCAAATTGTTGAAGCATCATGTTTCTTCCTCCTTGATCCTACATTATACAAAATTCAACATCAATTAGTCCATGCCATGAAATACACATAGAAAGCATTAACTTTGCAGAAGAACTAATAGGGAAATCAAAATATTGGTTACTGAAGGATAAACCAACAGACTGTTCCAATAAGATTTTCCTCTTGAAAAAGGTCCATTTTCGTTAAACCATGAGGTGCGCAATTAGATATGTACACAAATTAAATGGTACACCATACGTAACTACAATAAGTTAACAAGGAAAGGCTAAGACCTGCATAACGAAAGAATCAGATATATCCACAAACTAAACAGTAAACCATGCATAACAAATTAAACATAAAATGCTGCGACAAGGAACAGAAGCATTAAGATGCACACATATTACCTTCTACTTGAGACGAGCGCGATGATTGTTGTGTAAACAATAACTATTGAAGCAATAAGTGCTGTCCCAAAGGAGACCCTGATTAAGTACTCAGCCCCTCCCTACAAAAATTGAAAAGGTAAGCTTTTGCATACTGGTCTAAGTTATACATTATATAATCAAGTAACATCAACGACAATGCCTAGCACAAGAAGAATGAGACCCTGAGTACCTTCAATTTGTCGAGTAGAGGTTCTACTTTCATTCTAAAAGATTTCCCAGCCAACTTTGACCTGTAATCCCTTGGGAAAACATAAAGAACATCGCCTTCATCTGAAACCTATCAATATCATCTTCAGATAGATAGCCTTATGAAGACAAGTAAATATGAAGAACCAATCACCCTTACCGGTAAGCCATAAAGGACTTGTTATCATACACATATTAAACAAATAGAGGTCCTAAGTTTAACAAATTTATTACAAGTCACCAACCTTGTTTCTTTTTCATAAAGTTGTACTTGTAAGAGCAAAATAAAGAGAACATGCTGCACTCTGTTTCAATAACGCAAGTTATGTAACTACTTTCCTTTTTTTTTTGTCCTTTGTATTGGTTAATTCCCAAAGAGAAAGTAACAGAAACTAGTTTACAGTGTTGACTGAAAAATATACAGACTGGTGGAATAAAATTTGCAAACCATACACTAGAAAACATTAGTATATTGGCTTGTCAGGCCAGTGACCATATCAAGTTGCTGGATCCTTTTCTAAGATAAAAATTCTCAAACAAAAAGAGTATACCACTGCTGGTAAACCAAGAAAATGCTTATGCATTGATGCCACGAAGAATCATGACATTCTCCAAATTATAAATACAATATCTGGTGGATTTCATATTTCCATGGCGGGTAAGAGTCATAAGACAGACAACTTATCGTCAGGTGTTGCATATGTCAAGGAAATGTAGCACAAGTTTACGAATTTAATGCAAAACATTCTGAACTGAAATTGGAGAAGTCATTGAAATAATTGGCAGAAGTTATAAAATAGGAAGCTTGGCAAATAAAGCCATCAGTTATCTTGTTTCCTGCAGATAACATCTGTTCAATTTACGTTATAGCATCATGCACAAAAACTTTTATTGCTATGCAACAACAGCAACACCAACGGAGTTGTTCCCCAACATTTTGAGGTTAGCTACATGAATCAACAATTTTCCATTCAGTTCTATCATGTATCATCCCCAATCCTCCGTTAAGTTAAATACTATCCTGCCCTTCTTAATTGCTTCCAACAAATTTGTTTTAGGTCTACCACCAGTCTCTTTTCCGCAATCAACTATAATCTTATCGCTTCTTCTAACTGGTGCAGCTAATGGTCTTCATTGTACATGAATAAATCATCTCAACTGACTCTCTCTCTCATTTTGTCCAGTATTTAACTTAACCACTATAAACCACCTAAACTCCCATCAAACAAAATGATCGAAATAACAAAGAAACGCATTAAAATACCTCTAAGAATCCACCAGTGTCAGCAGCGAGAGCCTGAAGAGCTCTCTCAGCCTCATTCAATTTAAGCCCAGCTCTACTCGCCACATCCCCAATCGTAACCCTGCCTCCGTACGAATCAACGGCCTCCATCGCTCGATTCCTCACATCCGAAGGCAGCTTATCGGTCCCCACAACTCGCCCAGGCCTGAGTCCAGCGGGAACGTCGACGCTCGCTCTGATCGCCGGAGCCGAAACCCTAACCCTAACCCCAACGGCCGCAGATCTTTGAGAAGTGCGAAGGCGAAGGGGGGCGGCGACGAAGGGAGTTGGGCGGAGGAGTGAGGGTTTAGAGATTGGGTATTTGCAGGAAATCAAACAGGACGCCATGGAATTTTAGGGTTAGGGTTTGGATTTTTATGAGATCGGCATTGAGAGAAAGAGGGTTTATGGGGTAAGAGAGAGAGAGATTTCGGGATTTGGCCAGTTTGTGGGTTTTTTGATGGAGAGGGAAATTAAAAGCGGGGGAATGAAAAAATAGGCGGGGAAGTGAAAAAAAGGAGGGGGATCCGTAAATTTTTTTAGGCAACCTAGACGGAATTACCGTCTAGGTTGATGCAACCTAGACGGAAATTCCGTCTAGGTTGATTATTATTTAAAAAATAAAAAAAATCGTCTAGTTTGTCAATCTAGACGGAAATTTCCGTCTAGATTGATTCAAACTAGACGGAACAAACTAGACGGAATTTTTTCCGTCTAGTTTGCCTCAAATTAGACGGAAAAAATTTCCGTCTAGTTTGTTCCGTCTAGTTTGTTCATTTTTCTACTAGTGCATGATTGACATCTAAGCTGCGGCCATGATTGAAATCAAAGTTGCGGCCATGATTTTCTTGAATAATTAGCTGCAGTCATGGCCGACGACATACAAAAGAAAAACCCAAAAACAACTTTGAATAATTTTTTTAATTAATCCGAAAAAACTTTAATTCTAGATCAAAAATTCATGCACAAACTGTGTTCTGATATCACTGTTGGATAATATAACGATCTGAGCATGAAAAATTGAACTAGAAATATAGATCTAAATTACCGTTGACCGTCGATAACAATGGAAGTCTTCTCCTCTCTCCTCCCGTAGCCAATGATGGGAATTAGATCTCTTTTCTGCGTACGGTTGAGAGGAGGGACTCCTGCTCTTTAAATAGATATTTGTGATTAACCCTACCCATCATGGTTTAATCACAATCGTGGGATTACACTCTGATTGATCCTATCCTTTAGATATTTAAGATAACCACCCAATTTGATAAACATGAAACTGTCTAACCAGACCATGTGGTTAGCATCATGATCCTAACTTGAATCGATGGAAACTTTAAATCAAATCTAAAATTGAGTAGGTTGGGCCACGTGAGTTCGTTAGATTAATTGAACCGAACATGCATGTCCAACTGTCTGTATTACACTAACTAGTGGTTTCTATTCAAGTGCATATTAAAATGAAATGAAAAATTTACTTTTGTATGGATTTTTCTATTTTGCTGAGTTGTAAATAGATCAAATAATTTATGGAGAATATCTCATGTCAGTAAGTATGGTTTTACAATATTCTTTAGTGCCCAGGATTGCATGGGGACGCTAAAAGCTCAGGAGGTTGAAAGCCAGAACCTACACAAGAGATTTATGAGAGGACTCATTTGTCAGCCTCGTCCGAATAGGTATAATCCCATTACCACCAGTCACTTTTAGTGGATACTAAAGAAAATTAACCGTGAGTCCTTTTTTATTTAATTCAAAATAATCCAAAACCGTGAGTCCTTCTATTTAGTAGTAATATGTGGTTTATATACAGTCAAATATTTTACACTTTACACCACCGTGCACATGGGTGCCTGACATGGCAGTCCTCTGCAATCAAGAGATAAGAGCACAAAAATGGGGTATTGGTCACTAGCAAAGCATGGTTTGGTAATTATAGGTCTTCATGACCAGGCTACGACCTTTGTTAAAAACAAAAACAAATAAGGACATAACGGTACATCTAGTGTATGAATATTAACTAGAGAGGCATAGAGAGGCTAACTGGTTGGTTGCCTGCTCTATTTAGTCTGTGAGTCTGGTAATTTTTTTGTTTCCTACATAATGAAGTTTACTTCATGGAATATAAGAGGTCTAAATGACCTCATTAAAAGGCGTATGGTTAAAGATTTTCTAGCTACCCACTTCATCGATGTTGCTGGTTTTCAAGAAAGTAAACTTTCTGATCCTACACCTAGAAAATTTCAATCAATAGGTGGTAGGAGGCTTTCTCAGTGGTGTCATTGTAATTCTACAGAATCAAGGGGAGGAGTTCTTCTGGGATGGTCTGATTCTTTTTCTCTAGTTCAGTCATACGTTGGAATTTTCTCTGTTTCTGTTCATCTTCATCATATACCATCTAATTGGTCATTCATCTTCTCATCAGTTTATGCACCTACTGATAGGGAGGACAGAGAAGTCTATTGGTAGGAGTTAAATCGTATTTGTTACATTTTACCTGGTCCTTGGATTCTATGCGGAGATTTCAATACTACTTTATCCCCTGATGAACGAAATGGTCGCAATGGATCTCCTAGGGATATTAAGTCTTTTACGGACTTTATTTACTCTGCTATGCTTATTGACCTACCGCTATCTGGTAGATCTTTTACATGGTCTAATAAAAGAAATAATCCCTTTATGGCTCGATTAGACAGATTCCTTATCAACTCTGAATGGGATAATAAGTTTCCTTTATGTACCCAGTTCTCTCCGCCTGCTTTTGGTTCAGATCATTTCCTTATTATTCTTGACAGTGGAGGATTAAAAAATTTAGCGCCTATTTTCCGTTTTGAGAGAGGTTTGTTTCATAATACAGACTTCATCCCTTTTGTTTCTATATGTTGGCTTTCTTTTCAAGTCCAAGGTAACCCGATTGACATTTTCATTCTGAAATTAAAGCTCCTGAAGAGAAGGATAAAGTGGTGGAAAAAATGTCCTTGGCTGTTTATCTACTAGAAAAACAGAAGTTTTATCTAAACTTAATGCTTTGGACTTATTGGAAGAACAAAGACCTCTCTCAGATTTGGAATTAAGTGATAAAAACTCTCTTCAGAATTCTTATGTTATCATCATCAATAGGGGGAAACATACTGGCACCAAAGATCTCGTGTTCAATGGTTAAAAGAGGCTGATGCTAATACATCTTTTTTCATAAAACAACATCTTTTTACAGGAAAGCAAATTTCATAGCTTCAATTATCTTCAAGGATACAAATCTTGTAGGAGCAGATGATGTCTCTAAGGCCTTCTATCAGTATTATTCTGATTTATTTGGTCAGAGTAAGAAAAATCAATTTCACATTGATTGGTCCACTCTATATCTTGAACAAGAGAATAATCTGTCATCTCTTGAAGACAAGTTCACTGAGGCTGAAATAAAAAGTGCAATGTTTGGAATGAATGCAAATAAAGCCCCAGGACCAGATGGTTTCTCTATGGATTTCTATCAATCTTTCTGGGAAATAATTAAAGAAGATCTAATTTCTTTTCTGCACTTTTTTCATGATAACCCATCTAACCTCCATAGAGTCAATAAAGTATTTATCACTTTAGTACCTAAAATCAAGGATTGCACAATGGTGAAAGACTTTAGACCGATTAGCCTGATTAATTGACTTTTTAAAAAATTCAAAAATTTTGGCAAATAGGCTGTCTAATCATATGTCATCTTTAGTAGCAAATACCTAGTCTTCTTTCCAAGTGGGAAAATCTACACTAGATTCTATTCTTCAAGCAAATGAAATGATTCATGTTTGTTCTAAAAGAAAGAAGGAAATAGCTATGTTCAAGATTGATTTTGCCGAAGCTTTTGATTCTATAGATTGGGATTTTCTAATTGATTTGTTGAAAGTTAGAGGGTTTGGTAACAGATGGTGTTCTTGGATTCTTCATATTGTCTCATCTTCAAATTGTGCTGTCCTTGTTAATGGTTCACCAACTAGGTTCTTCTCTTGTAAACGAGGCCTCAAGCAAGGAGATCCCCTATCTCCAATGCTTTTTAACATTGCTGCTGATGTTTTGAACAGAATGATCATGAATAATGTTGAAGATGGAATGTTATCATCTCTTGGGCTTAGAAATCCTCTCAATCAAGTAAGAATTCTCCAATTTGTTGATGATACACTACTTTTTGTTAAAATCTCTGCACGTGATATCTCCATTCTTAAAACTATTCTCTATTATTTTGAAGACATATCTGGTTTGAGTATCAATTATACAAAATCATCTCTCATATATTTTGGTACAATTCATCACAAAGCTTAAACTTTAGCATCTTCTCTGGATTGTAAAGTTGATCACTTACCTATCAAGTATCTTGGATTACCTCTCAAATATGGTAAACTATCTAAATCAGATTGTCAACCCTTGTTGGATAACCTTCATAGGAAATTGGCATCCAGGAAAAAGAGTACTCTCTCTTATGGAGGGAGATTGGTTCTTCTAAATTCTGTTCTTACATCTCTCCCTCTATATTATATGTCCTTTTATATGTTACTAAAATGGCTTATTAAAGATATTGATAAGGTCAGGAAAAACTTCCTATGGACAGGAAAGGCAGATGTTAGCTCTTTCAAATGCCTGGTTAAATGGAAAAAAGTATGCTTAAGTAAAACAGAAGGAGGGCTGGGTGTTAAAGATATTTCCGTGTTCAATTCTTCACTCCTATCCAAATGGTTATGGAAGTGCTTAGACAGGAATTCATCAACATGCAATTTTGTTCAATTCTTCACTCCTATCCAAATGGTTATGGAAGTGCTTAGACAGGAATTCATCAACATGCAATTTTCTTCATAATCTTTATGTCCATGATATGGTTATGGAAGTGCTTAGACAGGAATTCATCAACATGCAATTTTCTTCATAATCTTTATGTCCATGATTGTATATATCAATGTACCAGCACATCCCACTCATCTTTTTGGAATGCTGTTTTATCACAAAAGGATGCTTTTTTACATAACATAAAATGGATGATAGGTGCTGGAGATAGAGTTAGATTGTGGGAAGATAAGTGGACTGGCTTCAACAATTTAGCAAGTGTTTTTCCGGAATCATACAAGTTAGCACTCTCATCAAATGTTTCTGTCAAGAGTCAAGGTTCTTATTATGATAATGATTGGCATTGGCATTTGTTGATGAGAAGAAGTATCATTCCTTGTGAAAAAACAGAGAAAATTGCTCGTTTGAATCTTATCAAGGATTTTCATCCTTCAAATATTCTCGATCAAGCACAATGGTCTCTCACTTCAAATAAACAATTTTCTGTTAAGTCTTTTTACAGTTTTCTTAATTGGAGAGGTGTTTCAAGCCCCATATACAAAGTTATCTGGAATCTCATTGTTCAATCGAAAGTTCGTATCTTCCTTTGGATTCTTACAAATAACAAACAACATACAAAGGAGGTGCTTCAATTAAAAGGCTGGCAAGGTGATAATACATGTTCCTTCTGTGGGTTAGAATTGGAAACTAGAGAACATTTTTTTTCTTTTTATGTTCAATAACTAAGAATATCTGGCAGCATTTCATGAGCTATTACCTTCCTTTTACATGGCCAGATACATTAGAAGAACTTTTGCTTAAATTAAAATCTCTGCATGGTATGAAAGGACATCTGTGGTGAAGCGTTTTTGCATCTGTCTGTTGGAGTTTATGGACATCAAGAAACAAATGCATTTTTGATCAAATGCAGTTCTCTTTAAAGTCTATTATTAACTTGGCAATATATACTTTATATGATTGGACATGCACCCAAAGTGGATCTGTAGCTTAGAAGATTTAGGCCAAGTTGGAGGAAGACCTAATTTGAAGAAGCATTTGATTATCTGCAAGTGATATGAGGAAATTTTTTTCTTTTATGTACAAAAATACTTTATGTAGTCTCCACTTTTTCTTTTTAATTGGGCTATAGAAAGATTAGTTTCTTGATACTATATATATGACTGACTTTGGTTCTTTCTTATATCCGTGTCAACAGTGAATGGTGACAAGGCCCTCTCTTCACCTTTATGGATGTTTGAAAGAAGAAAGTCATATATCACTAATATTGAGAAATAATTTTTTCTATTTTTCAATTCTTGGATACAGTTCGTATCCTGTTTTTGTAAAAAAAATTTTGCTTAATACAAATGATAGGGTATATCCCTTGTTTTTCTTTCAAAAAAAAGTATATGAATATTAACTGATATAAATATGTTATGAATGAATTGGATTATTTATTACGTTCCAAGGAACTTCAAACAGTAAATTGATGTTCGTCATCAACATTACAAGTTTTACATCTGATTCTCTGCTAAAGATTTCAAAAACCTACAACATATGAGAGTTAGTAGTTTTATCTACCCACATGCCTTTTAAAAACCTACAACATTACAAGTATTTTGTATTTTGAATTTTGAAATTTAGTTGAGTGATTTAAAGGATTGTTGTTTTGTTTCTATTTTTTATTGCATGTTGCGTGCATATAGTTTTTCTTTATAAAAAAGGTTGTATGAGACTATTGAAAGGTAATGAATTATTGAATGTAGAAATATTTGTTAGCTAAATCTTGGTATAAAACCCTAGGCCTCGGGTGTGAAACCCTAGGCCTCGGGTGTGAAACACTAGGCCAAATTGTTCTCCTATGCCACAAACAGCCGACAAGCATTCTTTATCCTCATACACAGCCGCCAAATTTCTTATCTCCCCCACGTCAACAATTTCCAAACCCATCTCCTAACTCCTCTTCATCCCTCTCAACCAGCCACCGCTCCTACTCTGAACAGCTCCCGGAATCCCTACTCTGCACTCCCAAGTATCCCAATGCCGCCGTCGACCTCATCCCGAACACCTACCACTAGTCTGGACACGACATTCCACCCGTCTCCTCATCGTTTTCATCATCTACCATCTCGATGCCATTGATCACGTCACTGTTTAGTTCGACGCCACCGCCGTCATCATCTTCCCGCTTGACGCCATCGATGCCGTCGTCCTTATCGTCATCCTCGTCGTCGTCAGTTCACACGTCGTGGTGATCGCTCAGTCGATATCGTTTTCCATCGCCAGTTCACCCGTTGACCCGTCGCCACTTGATAGCCCAGTTCGACGTCGTCGTACACGTCGTCATCCAGATCGCCGACGCCCGTCTCGTTTTTCAACACCATCGTACTCTTCGTCATCGGATATCCGCCTCATCATCGTCGTTTAGTTCACTATTATCGTCGTACCACCTCCAGAGTTTTCTCTTGTCGAGTCTGTTCAAACCGATGAAAGTTTTGCTTTCTTTCATCCCTTATTTTTCTGTTAATTTTATTTTGTTAGTTAATTGCATGAGTATACCATCTCTAAACTCTTATCTTATATTCATTGTTGAGATTATACTTGTGAGTAGAGAGCAACTGAACATGTGACTGTTGCAGATCTAACATTGATTTTAGAATTTGCGAAATGATAATGAATACAATAGTTATATTGTTTGAGATTGGAATTATTCATGATTATTGATACAAATCTTATTAAAATCCATCTGTCACATTAATCATTTTGAGTTTATTTTCCTGCCGAAGATCATCATTTTTGGCGAAACGGTGCGTTATTCGATTTAGATCGCTGATAATGATAGACCTGTAAGATCTGGTCCAATCACACTAAAATACTAGAGGGGGGTGAATAGTATTCTTTTAAAAATTTATGCAAAGAAGATTATGATTTGCAAAGAAGATAGCACAATCATAGAAAATAACAATCACAATCACAGAAAATAACAATCACAAACATAATATTTTATACTGGTTCCACCTCCCAGGTGTACATCAAGTCCCCAAGCAAATCCCGTTTAAGAGTTCTACTATGATTTTGCAAAACTTACAAAACCAAAACAGTAAACTTGACTAATTTGTAAGTTCCTGCAAATTACACCCAATCTCTTCACCAAGAGATTACACCTCTCACACCCGAGAGAATACTTTCCTTGAAGGAAGAACACAATATTACACCTCTCACACCCGAGAGAATACTTTCCTTGAAGGAAGAACACAATTCCTATAAGCCTTGAATGTGTAGTGATGTGTAGAAGTGAGAGAATACTTTCCTTGAAGGAAGAACACAATTCCTATAAGCCTTGAATGTGTAGTGATGTGTAGAAGTAGCTTTAAGATTTTTTTAATCTCTGAAAATTGCCTAAATAATTTGTATATAGGATGAAGATCAAAGTCTATTTCAGAAATTGATTTTTCTCAGCACTTAGGAAAAAATTTGAATTTTGAACTCTTGAGAATGCACAAATATTAAAGCTTATGGATAGGAATCAATATGCCAAAATTTTGAACTTATAACCTATTTATATCTCTTGAAAAGACAATTTTTAAACCAAATAAATGGATATAAACGACTATATATAGTTTCAAAATCAAATTCAGATATACAGAAAATTTGTATCTATAGTCGATTACAAGACATAGTAGTCGACTACTCTGTGTTAATTCTCATTCTGTAAAGTCTGAAAAATTCCTTAGTAGTCGACTACTCTGTAAAAATAGAAGTTCTGAAAATTTTGATTCTATACTTAGTAGTCGACTATAAAGTCGATTAGTCAACTACACTGTAAAAATACAGATTTTAAAATTCTATCTAAGAGTTGATTAGTTGACTAATATTAGTATTGGTCGACTACTAAGGATTATAAATGAGATATATGATTTATTTTGAGACTCATTCTTTAACTATAAACTCTAACGGTTAACATATGGGATTTCTATTGTTAACCACATACTAAGCATGTGTTAGTGTGTTCTAATACTATGTGTGTCCATGTGTTGTGAGTGATCAAGGCTTGTACATAAAATCTAAGAAAAGAAAATGAGAAAAGTTACATTTTTGACACATAACATATCTTCTTCTTTGCTTCTTGTTGCCTTGAACTCATCCTACACTTTGTTCACATATCTCGATCATATTTGATGTTGATAGTTGTATTGATATGCTAGTGCATAATAATACACATAATACATAAATTGTTATCATCAAAACTATATATTTAGGATAATATATCCAACATTCTCCCCCTTTTTGATGATGACAAATAATTTAAGCATATGTAAGTATATCACAAAGTAAATAGAAAATTGATGAACATTATACTTACTTATACTTACATATTAGAGTCTACAATTCATATATCATAGAATTCTTATACCATTCTCCCCCTTTGTCATTAACAAAAAGAAATGAACATTTATTCTATCATAGAATTCTTATACCATTCTCCCCCTTTGTCATTAACAAAAAGAAATGAACATTTATTCTAAGCATGCCATAATTTCTTCTTCTTAACAAAAAGAAATGAACATTTATTCTAAGCATGCCATAATTTCTTCTTCATGAGCTAACACTTCAAAATGATCATCCAGATTATGAAAATAGTCCAGTACTTTACCCATCCATATGGGTAGGCATAGACTTGCCATAAATACCAAAAGTTCCACAACTTCCATCATCACAATCTGTTTAGAATATTTAGTGCATGAATATACTAAGCAATTATCACACTAAATGTAAGTCATACTAGGCATAAATGAAACATAGTAGCAACATAGAACATAAAAGAAACTTACAACATATTACACAAGTCTTAAATCAAATAACTAGCACATAGTTTTTGACACATAATCTTAAACAAACCAAGTAAACACATAGTTTTTACCACAAATATGAAACTAAACCAAAACACTACATGATGCATGCATGGTTCTCTAACATGAAGGTCTTGGAGGAGGTGGATGTCCTTGAAAAAATGCACTGAGCTTCATATCCAAGTTATCAATTTTTTTGATTAAATCCTCTTGATTACTGATGATGTAAGTGTTCTGAGCATAAAGGGTTTGCTAACCAGTCTCTAACTCAAGAATGCGTGCAGATAATATGTTATATTGCACACCTGAGAAGCAGGAAGGTTCTAATTGCATTTGAGATGGTTGTTGGCTAGAGGAAGGGCCTGCATGACTTGAGGATTGTGGAATATCTTGTAGAATTTATTCTTGAGGAGGGTGAGGCTCATCTTTGGGATTTTGATCATGAAGTTCAAAGTTAGTTAACTTCATCCTAGTTAGGGTATTAGTGTC